GAGCAGAACGCTCGCAGTTGGTGTCTGAATATTTTGTCTCTGTTTTAAAGCTGGAGCTTACTCTTAATTGAGCAACTTTGTTACTGATAAAGCACTGAGACTTGGGTTTGAATGGTCAGACAGGTAAGTTTAAGAAACTGAACTCTCACCATCAAATAAATGTAAATATATTTATTTTAAAAAAATGTTAATGACACCTTAGAGGCAGTCATGACTACACAACAAAATATACACAAATTGTGTTTTAGTAGTTGCATCTTTCCACAGTGCTGCACAAAATGAAAATAATATGAGAAACACAGTAGATTACACACTGAGACAACTAACTTCAGTCAACTAAAACAGACAATTTTTGGTACATGTCTGCACTACCAGGCCCAGATTCTCAGGCAAAAAAAAGGTGACAGTGTGCAAAACTTTCCAACAACAATAAAACTAAATATGCTATACATACAGTAAATAAACAATATAAGATAATTTGAGTTCTCCTCATGTAGTCTTTATATACAGCATCTTGTCAGGTCTCCCAAAGTTAGATTTTTATGGTGCTTTTTCAGGAAGAGTAAGCAATTCCATTAACAAAAACTAAAATTCTCGTAGTCTTTAACTGCTGTAATTTAAAATTGCGTGGTTTTCTCCTGGATTCTACTCAGCATCAGAGACCACTGAAATTTTATTTAAGAAGAAGCCTTTTATAATCTTCTTCTCCAAGCTTTAGCACTTACATATTAGCTTTTTAAAAAGGAGCAATGTAATTAAATAAAGTCCATGTTGTGGCATCATGGTAAACGAAAAAGGAGATTAAAAATTTTCGATGGAAAAAAGAGGACAGTAAACTTGTCTGATTGCAATTCCTAGATGGACGTTCAGAAGTGATTAAATTCTGTTATCTGAATAAGAAGTGTTTAATTACATTAATCTCTATTTACCTTCTGCTGTACCATTGAATCCAGAAGTAAAATGTGCATATTACAGTGGAAATAGGTGTGGTTTAAAAAGATTCCATGCCAACTAAATGAAACACAAGTTTTTGCGGATAATTTCTTGTTCATTGATTTTTTTTATTATTTTTTTATTTTTTTGGCAAGACAGCATTACTGTGATCATGCAGTTAACTTTGTATCTAACACAAGCCTGAACTGATTCATCTTTGAACAAGAGCATTCAACTTTTAAATTAAAATTTTTGAGTCTTAGTTATGTTATTCAGTAGCTAATAATTCAGTAGCTTTGATTACAAAAACTAAAGTTTCTGCTGGATTTGTCTAGTTTCAGCTTCTAGTCATTGGATCATATACCTTTGCTATACCTTCAGCTATTGAATTTCGGTACCCCATACAGGCATTCATGATTTTGTTAAAATAAAACACCTTGCCTTTTAAATATCCTTTATGTAGTGCAGATATCAGGTCTATATCTAGATGGTCCTGCGGCAGAGGAACTACACAACACAAAGCATTTTGATAGTAAACCAAAAGGTAGTCAGATTTGATAGGGCTTCTCTAAGAGATCAGAACAAGTAAACGTCATAGGAGCACAGTAAAATGAGAAGTTACTCAAATGCACATAACATACAGCAGAAAGAAGGAATTTAAACTAGGTCTCTTTCAGTGCTATCAATAACTAAGTTGTTGTTCAGCAATAATGAAGTTATATTTGGAAGCTAGTTGAAGGGGTCCATGATGCAAGTTTTAGAGGAAACCCTGGTTTAGACCTATATGCTGAAATGGAAGAAGTTCAGGGAAAATCATACTAACCTTCCTGGGAAACTAAGTCACCAGAAGCCTGTGAGGAAAACAGCTGCAAAATGCCTTTACAGCACACATATGGGTATTTACAGTTAACAGAAGGACTTTTTAGTTAGAGAACTACTGTCAAAGTGAAGTGACATAATTGACTATCAGGCAGCATGAAGTAGAAAAGATAGTCTGGAAATTTTTTGTTGAGTGGGAGTTCTGAAGAAGCTGATGATAAGTAAGTGCAAAGCATATAGACAGAATAATGTTTAACATGTTGTATGAGAACATAAATGCAAACGCTATACCGATAGAAGATGTTTGCTTGAGAAGTTGAACAAAGTTCTCACTAGGAGAGGTCTTGCAACAGCTACTGTTTGGAATGGCCTACATATACCTTCACAGCAAGCAAAGCTCTGGCTGCAGCCCCGCTGTGTACCTTCATGTGCTCTGCACCCTACCCAGCGCAACTGATGCAGGTACTGAAGTCAGAGCAGCACAGGCATCAGCCCAGGCTAGAACAGCACACAGCCTGCTCTAGATCCCAGGTACATGTGCAGGTTGCTACCATGTGCTACCACATCCTATTGCTGTTTGTGTCTGCTCCAAGTGGGCTAGAGCTAGAAGGAATCTTTTTTTTGTGTCAGAGGCACGCTGCCATTCTGCTGGGGAGGCTGCTTCAAGCACTGTTTCCGGGGCAGCTAATGCAGCCAAAGGAAGAAGGCTTGTTTCCCACTTCCTCTGCTGCTGTTGGTGCTCGTGAGGCCCCTTTCTCTTGCCACGTTTTGAGTCTCTAAATATGACAGAGAACAGTACTCCTCTTTTGCTGAGTTAGTTTCTGCTAGTCTAGTGAGCTAAGGTGACATACAGCAGGCTGCAACACACCCAGCACGAGGTAAGCCTTGGGAGGTTGAAGGCAGGAGGGGAAAAGGGAGTCCTGCCTCTCCCCATGGGTGGCAGGTGATGAGCTTGTCCGTCAGCTCAGCAGAGCTCTTGGTACTGCAGCCTTATTCTGTACAAAACTATAGCAGTTTTACTGTCTTTTGCCTGCACGTTTTGCAACGTGCAAAATTTCTTGATTTTTGCGTCATGGCCTCCAGTGAATCAAACACAGGGAAAATAACCTAGAGAAGTAATGTGCCCATTACCAATTAGAGCTGTTTTAATTTGCATGAGTAACTACTCAGAACTGTCAGCTTTTTGTGTGTGTCCTTTGTCAGATACAAAGCCAATACCTTACTGCTTCCAATTTGGACCCCGTCAGATTTTTGTCAAGACAGTGAGCAATAGTTTGTAGGCTCGTTGATTTTATGTCCTGTCCTCCTTTTGTAGTACGGGCACCTTCTAGCGTTGTACTGGAATGACCTTGGAATAGAAGCCATCATGTCCTCAAGTTGTGCCATACCAAATTCCTTTATTACAAAAATAACCAACTACTGTGGTCAGGCTCTTTTTCCTGCCTGACTTTGAGACTAATGGACATTACATTTTTAACTATTCTATATGCTACCAGGGGGAGGATTTTATCTTTAAATATGTTAATAGGCAAAGGATTTTTTTTCCTCAAGTAAAAATTAACAACACATGGCATTTTTCTTGCACGTGTCCCCTTCAGAACCTGTTTAACAAAACGCTGCACAAATAGTGTTTCCTCAAACAGTCAACCCATAAGGCAGCTGTGCAAACTGGGTAGAAGAATGCAGATTATAATAAAGAAGGACAATAGAGCACTGTGAAGAAGTCACAGATTTCCCAGGATCAGTACCAAGACTCTTGCTTTCTTGTAATAATGTATAAGTTTGTGAGATCAGTTTTTTTTACTCCAGCTGAGTAAGAAAATAAACCCTACAGGGGTGAATAATAGAATGGCTGGTGGAGTTTAGCAGAAGATTTAATTTAGCAAAAAAAAAAAAAAGGGAGGGGGGATTCTGAATAGAAAACATGCTCATTGGCTAAAGAGGTGGAAAGTACAGACTATAAAAAGACATTAATTACCTTTGCAAGAATGAAGATGGGACCATACTGTTTTACCACAATAAAAAGAGACCAAGAGGATCTTATGCTATATCAAATGGGCATATAAACAAACCAAAGGAAATCCTTTATTGTGATGGAAAGGCCAGAAAAGAGCTGTTACTTTTTTTTCCTTTTTAATATTTTTAATGTTACAGAAGAAACTCCTGTCAAGGTAAGTAAGTTTGAGTTGTATCAGTGGAGGCAATCTCCTCAGTTTATCAGCTGGCTGTAAAAGGAGGCTAAGTGCAGATACTCAGTAGATAGGGTGAAGTCTTGTTGCAACACATGCACACAGCACCTAAACAGAATAAAAGGCATGGGAAGAAATATTTCCCTGAACCCAACAGCAGCAGCAGGAGGACATGCACCAGTTCAGACAGAGGTTTACATGTAACACAGTGCCTGTTTCCCTTCCCAGGGGATACCTAAGAATACCAGGGTAAAGGCAGTATCCATTTTATTCAAAGAAAAAAACATATCAAGACAGACAACTCTATCTATGTAGTAATTCTTCCTGACACAGCCAGGGATAAACCAACTGATAAGTTTGGGCTTTACAACATCATATCTCTGTCAACAAGATTTGTTTTTTCTTTTGCTTTCCCTTCCACCTTCCTCTGAAGGTTAGGCAGGGCTGGGTTACGATAACATGGGTGTGCCTGATCTGATCCATTTCCTGTGCCTGCAAGCCAGGCATAATCCTTCCCCACTTCTGTGTTCAAAGACATTGCATATATTGGGAGTTCTTCAATGATTTAAGTGTTTTAATGTCCTTTTTCTAACTGCTCAGTCATTTCATTATTCATGCCATTAATTCTGTTCTTCCCTCAGTCCCTGAAGCCACAGAAAGTGACTACATTCACTATTAATCAAATAGTGGTAAAATGCCAAAGTACTGCCCCTGTCCCCCAACCCCAGCTCCCCTACTCCATTTCTGAACTTTTACACTAACTCTTGCACTTGATTAAAAACACATACACACATCAAGCAATCCTCCCGCCTCCAGTAAAATCAGCATAACAAAAACTGCAACTAAAATAAAAACAATCTGTCGTGATAATTATTTTAAAAGTAACACTGAATTTCAAATAAGTAGAGATACTTTATTTTTTTTTCTTTTTAATACAGGGTGGAGGAGAAATCTGACTTTTTTATTTAAGGTCTTGTTTTACATTACGGGCTAGGGGCCAGGCAGAGGATTTCAGGGGAAGTTTTTTTGTAGTTCTTAGATCAAGCAAAATACATTCTATTAAGAAAACAAAACCAACTCTGTCTCCTAGTAGTGGACTGTATGCTAACACATTATTTTCATTATACTCATCAAGAGAGTCTGCACAGTGCTCTTATTATATACAGAAATTCAACTCCCTTCTCTAAGGATCTGTTCCCTGATGCTTCTTCCACGTCCCTTAGTCTGTCAAAAGAAAAAATACCCACTGTACCTAGAGTCCCACCACCTATCTGCTTTGCATTCGGTCAGACAATCCCAACAAGTCAGTGCTAACAAAGGCTAAGCTAAACATTGCCTTCCTTGTGTACTTTCCCCTTGCAAGCTGCAGTGCTTGAAGTGAGTGCGTGCTTGGGTCTCCCTTCTTTACTAAGTGACCTGGAGATTTTGTCATTCAGTTCAGTTCATCATCTTTGGAAGCCTTACACACATGTATCTATTTCCTGAGTGTGATCAAAGGAAGAGTGCCAGGATAGAGCAATAACTAACTGTGGTCCATAGTCATCACTGGTCTAATTTTTGAAAAATAAGCTTTCTGTGCAAAGGGTTACTGGCATGAGCATCAAGTTCTCCTGCTCCTTAAAACTGGAAGCCATATGCAGATATCTAGTAATTTAGAATCAGGAAATATTAATACATATGACTGCATAATTTGCCTTGTCATTCTAACTGGATTCAGAGAGAAGACTACTTTATTTGTCTGACAGGGCTGACACACTTTATGATATGCTCCCTCCTGATCATAATCTTTTCCCTCCACTCCAGTAAAAAGCACACCTTATACTTCCAGTTACTTGGATCCCTCCCAAGATATCACGCTTTTTTGTGGTTGTAGTTTTCTAAATTGGAAAACCAATTGGATTAAGGCAGAAGACTGACACAAGTGAGCAGTTAATCACAGACATAGCCAAATAGACACAATCCGATTAAACAGGCAACTGGCTGTCAAGAAGTATGCATTTATGTATTTACACCTTAAAGTCCAAGCCTTCTTCATCCAGTCTACGCATTTAAATAGACAAAAAATAAAGGTAGCTTGTATATGCACAGCACTTCTTAAAAAACAGGGGGGAGGAGAGGAAGAAAAGAAAAACAGAACAGCCAGACCAGCAGCTTCATCTTGGTATAATCATCCGTTCTATGGCACAAATGATATGATCCCAGTTTTTACAAAATATTGCCAGCAGTGTCACTGCAAAAAAAGTGCAGATGATATGAAAGCGGCTCTTCATCATAGGAGCAATGAACTTTGCAATAGTAGAGACACATACTAAGATGACAGTCATGAAGGCCAGGATAACATTTATACATTTCCCCAGGAGCACTTTGGCATTAACCGTTTCAGACTGCTGTGCTTGCTGTTCTTGCTGATGGAGCTCCAGCTTTGAAACCCGGGTCTGGCATGATTCCAAGGCTTCCTGGAGAAAATAGAAAACAAGAATCAGAGCAGCTGTATTTCCACATAATGCTTTTCCCCTTTTAGCTGTGGAGCTATCCCTCAGCTAGATTAGAAAGTATAATTTATTACAGACTCCTCAAATTTGAATGAACCACCAACTCTTTTTAAATATATTTCACTTAGATATCTGTATGTACGTATCACTGCCTGCTCGGGCATAATTAAATCTGACAACATTGTCAAAAATGCAGTATTTCCATTTTTCATGCTTGAAAAAAGTATCACAGCTCTAATGTTCATGATAGATCATGTTTCCTGCATCTACTGATGAGATAAAGTACCGTGAAAGCTGTTGCTATGGCAACTTTCACTGTATTAAAACAGCATCAAAGTTAGTTTCTTTGCATACGCTATAGAAAACATTAGCGTAGTACTGCCTTGCTGTGATACTAATTAGATCTCCTGTGCAACATGTACCATTTGGTTTACAGCACCACTCTGGTCTACATTACTTTTGTTCTATTGAAAGCCACCCATTGTACAGCACTGGGATTATGTTCTCAGTAGAGAAGAGAGTGCCCTCTTCCCGTCAGCACGAAGGCTCATTAGTCCATATCCTAAGCGTACAGCATGCAGGGTCATCTCTCAAGGATGTGAAACTAGAGTCACAACAAACAGCTTTCAGCCATGCGTAAAACTCTCTAGTATAAATTATAATAATAAGAGATTGAAAATTGTGTATTCTGATGATTTTGCTGAAACAGAGAGAATGCTTTATGATCAGATATGTAAGGCAAAATAGAAGTGGGAGACTAGGCTCTCATGATTACTAACAGAGGAAGCTTACTATTGCCAGGCTTGTGAATACATCCTATTCCTCTTCCGCTCTATGAGTTTAGGCACCCATCTCAGATTATATTCAGCCACCCCGTCTGGAAAAAAGGGTCAACAGTCTGAAACTACTTCATACACTCTGCACACAGGCAGGGCAGCCAACAAGCATGGAAGAGTCTTGGGGCTCTGCTTTGTATCTAATGACTGTCTAATGTAAGAAAATACGTATACAAATCCTGAGAGCTGCTCTGCCTTTTCTGAGTTCAGTATCCTAGCTATGAAGCTCCAGAGTCACGCTCCTCCTAGCCTGCTCTCCTGGTCTCAGGGACCCCAACTTCTGACAGCAGAGCTGTAACACAAGGAGAGCAGAGAATACTCCCATCCAGAAACTCCTGACAGGCAGAAGAAATGAATTCAATACTCTTCTCTCAGAGGTGGGCCTAGGAAACAAAGTCTCTCAGTCTTGAGAATTTTTATGCCTATGCTCTCATAAAAAAGGTCAGTAGCATCATACCACTGGAACAGAATTTAGTGCAGGCTAAGCTAGTGAGGCTTGGTTTGAGCACACCAACAAAACAGACTTTACTCTAGAGACAGAGCTCAGATCCCTTGTTCCTGAATCCAAAGTGGCTTTAGCTGACTGGTCAGCCAGCTAAGCACGGACAAGATCCCTGCTAAGCATACCCAACAGCAAAGCTTTAAGTGCTATGGGAAGGTTTTGCTTGAAGCCTCAGATGCCTAAGCAAGTCAAACAGGTTTTCCCTGCACCATTCTCCTTAACGTCAACTCCTACATTTTGCTTTAGTGGTATGGTATTTGCCTGCCATACTCACCAGGCAGGTTTTTAAATCTTTAGACAGTGACCATGCCTTAAGAGCCTTGCTTGCTATTATGTGGCTTCTCCAGGTCCCTCTGGATCTACATTGCTTAGTTCCTAAGTGGCCTGTACTGAAGGCACAGGAAATGCAATTACACTATTTTCTTCAGTCATGAGGACTCTGACCTCTCTCCACAGAGAAAATGACAGTGAAGAATCCTGTCGTGACGCTCTTTTTCTCTTACAGGACTCTCTCTCAAATGACATTTTCTACCTGACATTTTGTTTTAAATAACGCAGACAGCTCTTCTACTTGAAGGTATGCTAAAAATGTTCTTTAAATAAAATGGTTCCTAAATTGCTAACTCTGCACTCAAACCCTCTCAAAGTGAAACATGGAAGGTTTTCTAACTGCTTCACTCACTTGCCAAAATATGATTTTCTGCCTGAGTTGCGTCTTGGGTACTATTACGTAATACGCTGTAAGGCTGTGGTTTCATGAGATTGGCAAAGGATTATGTAGGGTTGACCTAAGCCTAAAAGAGAAAAATTATGCTCCAACTTCCCTACCTCCTCCCCTGCTCTTAGCTGCAAACTCCTGGCTTACCATGCAACCAGCCAGGCACCAAAGTCAATGCAAAGCAGCCAGCAGGAGCATGGGGGAGATAGAGCTGGGAGGACATCTCCCTTTAAGGCAACCACAAGCTACTAATTTAGCTCAAGATGTAAAGCAAAACAGCACCCTGCGAAAGACAGTTTCCTTTCACTGTTTTAGCAATTAGTAATACTACATAGAAGATAGTTCTCACTAGGTGGCACAAATTCCCTTAGGGTTCACATGTGCTCTTCTACATGCTGAAGAGTTTTTCGTGCCTTCCTTCCTCTCTGACCTTAAATTATTCTCAGATCATCTATGCTACTTTAGAGAAAGTCTGGCTGCAAAAGTGTTGCACCTGGAGTTCTGCACTGAGAGGCTGAGCAAGCATTTTAAGACCTGTCCCCACCCTCGCCCCCCTTGGGGACAGGGTGCTCCAAAGTTAGCTTGTTACTTAAAATACCCATAACTTAAACGCTTTCACTCTATCTTAGCTTATTTGCCAAACCCCAAACAGACAAGTTTAAGCAGGCCAACTGTATGGAGATAAAAGAAACAAGACTACATCAACTTGGCACTTCAGTTAGTTTTAAAAGTCTCTGACACTCCTCCAGGATTCAGCTAATGAGTTAGCAAACACTTCACAGCCCTTCAACTGGAGAACTCTGCTCTCGTTCAGTTTTTACACCCTCAAGATGCCTTCACAGAAGGGAGTCCTGTACAAGAGACCTCTCTTTTACAAACCTACAATGAAGCCTGTGATGTGCTTAGATTCAGGACTCCTCTTCTCACTCAGTTCCCGAGGGCTTGTTAACTCTCATACCAATCAGAAAAAAGTTCAGTCCTTCTGCTACCAGCCTGCTGGTTGTCCTCTCTACTTTCAGAAATGTGAACACTGGGATACATAGGACAGTTTTTATTTACTATCTGAGCAAATAAGACGACAGTCATGGAGCCTTCTTGCATCATTAGTGAATTTTAAACTTACGGTAAGGTAAGTCAAAACAATCTTTTTACCACTTAGACTTTGGGTAGAAATATTTCTGTTCATCAGTGCTTAGATTGCATATAAACATGCAGAGGGATAACCACATGCTGTTCAAGATAAACACATAGAAATTATTTCTGGCTATTACTAGCCAGACGTGAGTTACCAATTACGTTGAGGTGAGTACACTTTACAGCTTTGCCTCTAGGGGCTGTTGTGACCATAGGTTAAAACTCTAAATTTGTAGATCTAGAAGTCTGTTTACTGTTTGGCACTATTTTACTTTTTACATTAATCTCAATTTATACTTTGTCATGCAATATTAGTATATTGGAGAAAGCCACAGGTTTGTGCTAGGACACTGTCAAAAGCGGCATTTTACACAATACAAGAGGATTCCACTCCTCCTTCCTCTGGTGCAGGAAATTAAAACACAGGCCATTCTTCATCCACAAGTCTTCCTGGGCTATATTATCAATTCTGGCAGGTAAAATTCTGGGTCCATTGAAACAAAGGAAACTGTGTCACTGATTTAAAGGTGTTAGGTTTTCATCTTAAACCAGACAAAATATGGGCTTAAATCTTTCCCCACGTTCTTTATGTATAAACACGTAGAAAGATGTGTATTTCACAGCACAAGATTTATAAAAAAAAGTGTTACAAGTCTATAATCAAAAAAAAAAAAAAAAAGAAAAAGAAAAAAGTACCTGAACATCTCGTGATCGCTCGTATGCCTGATATGCCACTTTCTCCTCTATGCTGGCTAGCTCTTGTTTCAAGTTTGCTGTCTCATGTTGATGAAGATCAGTCAGATCATTTAACTGGTCTTCCAATCTTTCATATCTTTTCAGGAAAAAAAGTTTAAATTTAGCGCTTTCTATTCAAGTAATGTTAAATCATGACAACAATTACACATTTCAGAAGGCAACTTCTCAGGATTCATCTGACTGGCATTACAGAGTACATAGGAGAGTAATTGGTAAAAACTTTGGAAATACTCTGTAAATGCTTATACAGCAGACTGAAAGCTTTTTGTGACTGTTCCTTGCTGGCAGTGGGTATTAAAAGCCAAGTATTTGTATATCATTGGCGAATTTTACAAACTGAAAACCAGTGGCTAGGGGTATCGAATTCAAATTTTCTCATTTCTCATTCTTCAGTCAAACAAGATGATACAGTTTCACAAGTAAACTTGAGCCAATTAACAACTCACCAGCAATGGAAAGGAAAACTATGTTCCCCATATGATCTCTCTGTGAGGTCCAGCCATTCATCTGCAGCCAGTTCTAGCATGTCTCCATATGGTAAACAATTCAACTAAACCATCAGAAAACTAAAATGATTTTTGGTGAGTTTGTATCTTGGTTTAACCTGTGCACAGGCAAATGCTGCAGATGGCACAAAAAAAGCTGGAGGCAAAATTGTGTAGCTGTGGAAATAGTTGACAGGAAGCTTGAGACCTTAACAGCAGTGAGCTGTCCAAAAAGGCCGCTCTGCCTTCTCATGAAACCAAGCCCTGCATACAGTAGGACATTTGCTCTATTGTGCCCTCCCCCATGTCACCATCTGACCTCTGGCCTTTCCTGTGTTTCAAGAACTGTAAACAAGGGAAATATTAAATGTGGTGTTTCATATTGAGGTTTTGACCACCGAAGTGGAATCAACACTTGATTTAACAAGCGATACGACAAATGGGAAGTAGATACAGCAGGTGCAAACACTTTGTAGACCAGATCTCACTTGCCACAGTGGGTGATAAAGGGGGTAGTCACCAAGTAGCAAACTCAGGAGGAAGCTGTGCTACAGCACTTAAAATTACATTCCACAGCAGCGTGTTACACCAGGATACACAGTGACATTGCATCCACTCGATATGTCCCAGAGGTGTAGGTACAATGTACTCAGGAGTAGGGGGTGTACTTATCAGCTGTAAGTTAGCTCTGTTACACTGCAGACTGATCATCATTTTCAAGTTATAATAGACCAGAAGCTTTCCATTAGTTACCAAACAGCTGGCATCCCCTATACAAGTATTCACATAATACAATATGCCAGTAAAATCTCAGATGGCAACATTTTCAGATAAGCCTTGGACAAAAGGCAAAGAACCACCACATTATCTGAAAATATCTGTAAGATATTAATGTTTTGCAGGTATTTTCAGGTACTGGAAGGAGTGGAACATTTTGATACCAGATATCAACTGGAGTTTATCCTGTTGTTTCTGAAGTATGTCTCACACACACACACTTACTCATTCAAAGCCACTTCAAGAGAACAGTTAAAAAATAAAAAAAGTACCTATATCTTTCCTCCTGTAACATCTGAGAAATAAAGCCATAGTCTCTTTTAAATTGTGTTTTTAAATTCTCAATGTCATCAGCTAATTGGGACTGCGTCTCCTTAATTTCCCTTAGTTCTTCCAAAATCATGGAAAGTTTTCCTTGGCTGTCCAGGGTGCCCGCCACAGCAGCGCCGAAGGAAGTATTCCCATTACTGTCTGCAGAGCCAGAGGTACCACTTGAGCATTCATCATCACTAACGTATTTTGGTTTGGCCACAATAGTAGCGCTGCCACCATATGTTCTAGAACTGGTTTCTGGCCGAAATTCATCCAGACTATTTTTGAGATGAGCGATGTTGTCTGCACTACCAAATTTGTTTCGAATCAAGTTTGCAAACTCTCTAGACTTGCTGAAAACAAAGACAGGTGGTGTTAAGGAGACACCCGGGACACCCGATTTGCTGCTCTCAGTTCCATGCCCAGAGGTACGAAGCTTTCCATGCTGAGTATCTTTCAAGTTATCTTTGGAAGTATCCTTAGAATTTTTGGAGGATCCATTTTGTTCAATATCCTTGAGCTTTTTGTGATACTGTTCCAATTTCTTCTGCAGCTGGGCAATGGAGTGCGCAGATTTCTGGTTCTTTTTCTCGAAGACTTGTTTAATGCGCCCAGCCTGTTGCTTGTCTGCACTGTTTACTAGTTTCAAATACTCAGCCACATTTCCATCTCTAGCTGTTTGTTCAACTTTGATTTGTTCTGTGACCTTGAGGATCTTCTGTTTCAAGCTATCTGCATTGAGTTTAACTTTGTGAAACTCTAGGACTCCATCTGGAACATCAAAGTTCAGGTTGGTGTCAGAGCCTCCGCGGCGAATGTTAAGTGGCAAGCTCAGGGTATTCATGTCATGTCTTTCTACCTGAGGGGAGGGAAAAAGAAAAATGGAATTTGAATTTTATTTTTGAAATCCAACTTTCAGTTTCAATTTTGCCATATATTATGACAAATCCAGAATATAAAGTAGTTTAAAGTAGCAAAATAGAATGAACTTTTCTTTGAAATTATGAAGGATTTTTCCTCATCTTCCCTAAGCTGATAAACACCACAACTTGCCTGTCTCTGTTAAAAAAGCAGTAAGAAGAATAAGAATGAATATATATTTTTTGAAAATCATTTAGTTATTTATAAAATCAAAACAATACTAGCTAGAAAAGATTTCTAAATACATTTTAAAATATAATAAAATATTTTATAAATACATATACACACAGTATATGTTATTATCTATTATTACATTTACTATATTTTAAAATATATTAAATATATATTTTTATTTTCAGGAGATTCAAAGAGATCTTTACATAATTATCCTATCATTCTCTTAGCAATGGTCAAACGCTGATACAGATGTAGACAGATTTTTCCCTCTAAAATAAGGTTATACCATCCAATATATGTTACCAGGTTAAAGTCATTTTTTGATGCATACTCCTTCCACCCAATTCATCACACAAAGTCTTTGCACAACTAGCTGAAAGTTCCTGGAAGCTTACTGCAAGCTT